ACTGAAACCCACCCAATGCTGCTGCTGCAAAGGTTGCTTTTTTTTTTTTGTMCAGCACAATAAGTCTCTACTGTTTACATTCTCCTTGTGTCATTCCCTCTACAATCACAGCAAACCCACCCTGCTTGCCTTGCCCTCCATAAAACAAAGCAACACTCRCTGTTCTGCTGATAGCTCCAACAAATACAATGCCAAGGACAGGAAAGAATTAATCTCTGCATCAGCCATGACACAAAGAAAGGAACCAAGATTTTCGTGGCATGATTTGGGGTTGCAGACAGCAATTGTTTTAGGGCCAGTGGTGCTATGTTTAACTTGCAACCCTTGGGTCACAGTAGGAAATCTCAATGTAGGAACAATTTGGACAAAGCATGTCTGTCTCTTATCTGTCTTGGAGAAGGGAGAAGCTGGACCCACTAGAGCTGTCCCATAGCAGTGGCACTGCTAACTTCCTTGCAGTCAGGGCTTAGTTGTAAAAACTTTCACCCTGTGCCAGTTCTTGGGCAGAGGAAGCAGGTCAGATGGAAAGGCACAGCCTACCCCAATCTGTATTTTCACCTGTGTGTATATTTGTTCTCCTGACTGGAAAACTAAATACAGCTAGGCAGATCAGCTGTCTGCAGGGGAGCCAGCCAGCACATACAGGCCTTGGAGAGCTGAATCTTCAGGAATGTCTCCCTCAGGAGCCTTCCAAAGCAGCTGCCATTCTTCTCCTTCCCCTTCAACCATCAGCACTGAAATGAGTGGATCATAAACTCACCATGAGCCTTTTCCTCACCAGACAGCAAGCAAGTCAGGATCASAGAGCAAAGCACAGGTCAGAACTTCATGGTGCCAGCAGGTCTGAGCCTTTTCAAGGTCACAGTGCCCCTGTTTTAAACAGAGCTGTGGAAACTAGGGTGTGTTTTGAATTAAAAATGAATCGGATTGCTTAAATGCAAAAAAAAAAAAAAAAGTAACTGTCTCCACTGAAGCATGGAAGGGAGGTGGCAGGCATTTTAGCAACCTCTGTGCAGAGATTTATTGAGGGCAGTGATGGAGGAAAACAATGTGAGACTGGATCTGTAAGAAACAGGCACTGAAGTGACTTCACAGTCAAAGGTCTGCCTTTCTCATTTTCACACAACTCCCTGGGAAATTAAATTGAATTCATATACCAAAAAAAAACCCCAAAAATCCTAAACCAAACCAAACAGCATCTTCAACAGAGCTTGAAATTAAGTTTGYGCAAGAGCCTCTGGATTGTCCCAGGGGAGGGGGCTTTCCCTCCCTCCAAGTGCAGTTTCACCTCCAATCAGGCCTGAATGTGATGAGAGACAGAGACAAGTGCCTCAGTCTGTTTAATAAGATTCATTCTCGCCTGCTCTTTTTTTTTCCCGTTCTCCTCCATGCCCTGTCTCCTGGGGGCTGCACTAGATCCCTGTTGAAAGTGCAGCAAGGTGTCTTTGGGAAGCTTTGCTTTGAAAATTCAGGGCCTGAGGAGGGGAGGAACAGCTGTTGTAACAGAGTGATACCAGGCTGGGTGCTCATAAAGTACTGGTCCATGTGCCTCACCCACTGCCCTCCCAGTCCCCAGGGTTTCCATTAAGGGAAGAGGAAGGTRGCATTAATCCTTCTACAGGTGGATGCTTTCAGCCACTACAGCCAAGTAGAGCAGTCCCTTATTTTTGGGGAGTGAGGTGGTTTTAAACCATGATGCTGTGTTTTCTAGTGAGGTGGATGTTTCAGGTACTTTGGCCACAGCAGTTCTCTCTCAGCCTTTTGCAGGATCTTGGCTTGTACACTTCACATTGTTCTTCTAGCAACATCTTTGCAAATGTGATTTTTTTATTACACAGATATGATGTTGGCTTGTATTCTAGTGTGCTAAATTTTCTGCAAGACTTCCTCCAAAGAGTTTTAAAACTGCTTCCATGTTTCTGGGAGGGGGGTGCCCTGTTATTAACTCTAGATAGCTGATGTTGTGTAACTTGGACAAGTGATAGAGTAAATTAGGGAGAGCGTTAGAAACAGGACCTGGATGTCCAAGCTTCTCCCAGGATTGTGRAACAGCCAACAGTGGGCTCCTGGCAAATAAACATTTCACTAAGACAGCTTGTGGCATTCTTCCCCTTGGGATGGAGAATTGCCTGTCTGCCCTATGCTTTCACCACCACTCACTCACCTCTGAGTTAGATCAGCACTTTTGCAGAGCAATCTCAGTAGGGTTGGATGGGCACCATGTCTGAAATGACAGCTAGAAATGCCATGAGACTCTGTAGTTAAATTATATTCTCCTGTCTCCTAATCCAGTGCCTTTATCTCCATAATGCAGGCACCAGTCACAGGGACCTGCAATGTATTTGCTTGATTTACTCTTGTAATATTTTGGTCAGATGAAGAGTAAAATGAGTAGCCTTGAAATGAGAACAATTAAAATGGATACTGTTTCCATTATAGATCCCTCTGTGTTTTCCTGGAAAAGGAGTAAGCACTTAGGCTGCAAACAAGACAATGCAATGTCATACTATTCACATAATATTTAATAATGCTCTAGTACCATTCAATATAAATAAATAACCATTAAAAAGTACTTTCTCAACATTCTCTTTTGTTCATCAACAGTATTTTCTGCAACAGGAAAGGTTAGTAATATTCATTGGTTGGTGAGTTGGATGAATCTCAGAGAACATGAATATCAGGTATTAATATGATAGTAAAAATCAGGCGCTCGGRTGCCTTCTCTGTTTTAAATACTTCAGGCTTGACCTGCACTTCCCTCCTTCTTGCACTCACTTCCCCTGACACCTGTAACTCTGACAGCTGCTTCTCTTCTGGGCTGTCCCACCCAGCTCTGCTGGTGAGCAAACATCTTGACTAGTGATGCCTGTTACTCACCCACCCTTAATTTACACACCTTGGCCAGCAGCAGTCCTTGCTCTCCTCAKGTAAGAGTATTTGTGCTGAACAGGTCCATATGTCTGCTAGCCTGGAATATCAGCTGCATACATTCATGCTGTCCATACAAGGTCTCAGTTCTGCACTATGCAGTGACTGAYACAGGGCCAGGCTGATGCAAGAATGGTACAATAGGGCTGGTCTTGAGAGCCAACTCTGACCAAGACTCAACTGACAGCGTAGTACATACAGAAAGAGTAGTTTTTCTTTCTTATAAGAATGTAAAGAGAACAACTCTCTAAAAACATGTGTGTGGTGGGATCTGTTGCAATGGGAATAGATCCTTGCTACAAACACTCACTGACAGAGCCTAAACCCTATGTAGGACGTGTGTGAGATTAAAGGCCAGAGAATTAATCACCACATCTCCTCCTGTTCATACAGGCAGAACCTTGCCCATCTCAGAGGAGAAAATGGAGGATCATAAATCAACTCCTTTATTCCCTCGCTCTTGCTCCTTCATTGAAACCACAAAGGAAGAGACTTGATCTTGGGTTGATGCTGGGTGGAAGCACTGAACCCACCTGCCTGGTGACATGATGGGCTCACAATGCCCACTGGAGTGCAAGCCCTGCTACCTTCTGCWGAGGGCAGGACAGAAAGCTCTGACAAACGCAGAGTGAAAAGCATTCTGTGGATGCTGGGCTTCCTTCATTCTGCCAGTGTCCATGTACCAGACCCTTGCTCTGTAAGGTCCAGAGAAGACACTGTTTTCTCAGCCTATTCAGTATTTTCCTCATGCTGAGACAATTTGGCAGGGTAGCCCTGTACTGCTGGTATGTTCATCCAGACAGACCTTGGCCTTAGCCTCAGTAAATGCAGTYTCCATTTCTTTAACCCATGCCTATTCTTTGATTTCTCCTGTCTCTTTCTCTGAGAGGAGGCATSCACCCCCCTTGCCCCTCCCTTACTTTGGCCCTCTCCTATAGCAGGATGTGTAGCTGCTCCTTCTCCACTGAGGGAATATGGACCAACTCCCCCTCTCAGATACCCTTTAAAGAGCCCCCTTCATGGAGGCTTCCTGCGATCCCTTGGGGACTGTCTGCTGAGTGAGGCAGTCCTTTGCTCATGTTTTTACCTCACTGTGTTTGCTTGGGAGCCAGAAACTTAGTGCCACCCACGTCTGTTGCATAAAGGAACTGTGATTTCCTTCGCTGTACTGCCCCCCTTGCTGTGTTTCTGATTATTTTGCCAGTTTAAGATACCATTGTAAAGAAACCCCAGGGAGCACAGAACATAYGACATTCATCGGTGAACACCAAGCTCTGCTGTTCTGAGGCAAGGGGGGAAATATTCTTTCTTCATGRATATGTCATGTGACCTAAGCTAAAACCCAAAACTAAACAAGGAATAGGCAGAGAAGAATTCTAGTATAAATAAATCAACAAATAAATAAGTTTCCTGCTAGCCCAGAATTTCTTGGGCAAGGGATGACTCAGCTGCTTATAACTTTCTCCCAGCTGTGAAATCCTTGATGTGTTTTGAATGCCTAAGGCCTTGTTTCTCATGGTTTGAGTGAAGAAGGTTTYAAAGATATGCTCAGAGGGGTTTCTGGGTCATTCAGGGAATCTTCCTGGAAAAGTCACAGCGACACCACTCCCCACGCACACATATGGTACCAACACTTGTGCTTTTAATCCAGTGCATCCTTCCTTCGATCCTCATTTGCACCTCCTGTTTTGTAGGCTGCCTCCCACCTGGCTGTCTTCCTGTTTTATTGAGGGAAAGGGAAACCCTTCCACATGACACTGACTCCTCTCTCTTCACACACTTCTTTCAGCCAAGTTCAGCTGGAAAACCCTGCCACATTTGTTATTTCAGTTGTGATTTACGTGCTCAAGATAGGCTTCCCGATGGTGTCTCCACATTCCTTGAGGTTCTCACACCAGATGAGTGCAGGCTGAGGGTTCCTCTTCTCTGAGCAGTTGTCACCCACCTCCCTCTCAGAGAGTTGTCTTCCTCTCTGGAGGTCTAGGAAGCAAGTCCATGCACATGATTTGAGGCTACTGAAGCAGGCTTCCAGGCCTTGAAAATGTTCAAGTCCACCTATCTTTGCCCTATCTGGTCTCTGCAGCAAGACATGGAGGCACAGCCTTTGAGGTACAATACCTGCCATGTCTCCCTGAGCAGGAGAGGAACTTCATCCAGAGGGGTCTGTGCCTGGGGATATTGGATGGTGTTTTCCAAAACAACCTTAAGTGGGAGCAATTCAAGATCTGAGCTGAGACATCGGCACCAGATCCCTTCTGAACTCCCAAACCCTAAATTAGGTTCCTCAGCACAGCTTCCTCTCCAATACTGAAGGCTGAACTGTGTACATATCTGAGTGCATCCCTCAGAGGGAGAGATTCTCATGCTAGCTTTGCTTTAAAGCTGTTCTGAGAGCACACTAGCCGCAGGCCAACAAGTCCATGTTTGTGCTTTAGTGACACCTCCTGTCCTTGAACTACTGCCGCTTGCAGCTGCTGCACTGATGCTCAGGTTTCACAACATGCCAGGACAGATCTTTGGAGGCACCAGCACCCATCCTGGATTTGAGCCTCTGTGCTGGCACAGCTGAGAATGAAGATCACATCGAATACGTTTTGACGAATGGTTAAAAGTACAGGGCCCAGTGGGGAAGGGAAGCACTCCTCTCCTAGGTGGGGACGATCTCAGGGCACCACATCAGCTCTGTCCCTCCTTATTACCACCTCTTTGGGCAGTGGGAGCTGTTTGGAGTGGTGACATTTGGGAGTGTTTATCATCCTCCAGCAGTGGAGCAAAGCGCTGGGCAGGACAGGCAGGGTGCACAGCTGCTGTGGCTGCTGCTGAACTTCAGGAACAATCACAGCCCTCTGCCTCTGTCAAAACAAGCACAAGATGAGGTAAGAAAGTGTAAATACAACATCCAGTGTAACAGGGCTATACCTGGCTCAAGCAAACACCTTGCAAGCATCAGTAAACAGGTTCCTCAACCACACCATGCATGGCTTTGGGCTGGGATATGGCTGAAGAGCTGCTTGTTCTACCTAGAGTCTTAGCTAGGAGATTTTATTTACGAATTAGATAAAGTTTTTGACAGTTCTTTTTTTTGTCTGCACTTAAAGTCTTTAACTTCTTTGATATTTTTTTTTAAAAAAAGAGTAGGAGGATAAGATCTGAGGATCTCTATTCAATCTGTCTGGAAGCTCTGAAATGCAGATGAACCTTCTCTGTTTCCAAATTTCACAAGGCAGCAGGAGTCCTATGCTAACCTAAGCACATTCTTCTCTTTCRGATGCCTGTAAATGAAAGTTAGCAATAAGAATAGATATTTTTTATAACATCAGTCTTCTGTGATAGTTTTCAGGACTTTAATAAAGAAAAATATGAGGTGAAATTAATTTCCATCTCCTGTTCTCAGAAGCCAAAGCCTGTGGTCTGAGGGTGTTTCAATACAGTCAGCAGGGGTGTATGCTGTGATAGCTTTTGGCTGCTCTGTGGCAAGCAGCCATGCAAGTCATCCAACTAGAGACTAGGAGAGTACCAAATCCTGCACCAAGCAATGTCTGCCTGACTCACATCTGCAGGATTTAAAGGGAAGGAGGGCTCTGGGAGGTGTTGGACTTAACTAGATTGATCTTATCCACAAGGAGGACTAATTGGCAGGAGGAAAAGATTGCAACATTCTTCCTATTGTGTTTAAGACCGGAAGATCCTCAGGGGAGTAATTTTGCCTCTTTATTTTTCTCAGCACTGGCTTATCTGGATCATGTCTATCAAGGTTCTGAAGCTCAGCAGCCTTCACAGTAAGTGCCTCCAAAACACTGTAACAGCAATCTCAATTTAAAATTTTAAGAGAGGCAATCTAACGATTTTGCTTGATTGCCCTTGACTGTCAAGCCATTTACCTTGCATGTGTCTCCTGGAATAGTTGCCACCCATCAACCTGGTGGATCAGACCATCTGCCCCACATGACAGACAGCGGTGCACAAGGGATTGTGGTCAAATTCACTGCTAATGCAAGTGCAAAGATCCTTYAAAATCTGCAAGGCTAATGCAGTCAAAAGTCTGCTTGAAACCATTGGAGAGGGTGGCTTGGATAAATGTGCAAGTCCTGCTAGTGAATCAGTGGCAGTGTCTTGATCTTTTAGACTGGTTACTTTCCCACAACAAATGATTCCTGGGGATCTATAGTTGGTGCATTGCATTTCTTATGGAGGATGGCTGAGTGCTTGGCCAGGGAGARAGGTAAGGACAAAAGTGCCCATCCATAAATGGCACTTTTGTGAAAACATCACATCTGCATTCTGCATCTCCAGTGAAGCAGTCAGGCCTTCTTCTGGTAAGCAGGAGGTATCTAATCTATCTGAGTTTTTATAAGCCTGCTCATCCTTTACAGAGTGAGTGATYTGTCCAGACCAGTTAACTGGACTCTGAGTTCTTATGAGCTGASTTTGGGCAATCATAGCTTTAGGCTACTGCAGACTCTGCAAAATGCTGCTTGTGAATCTCACAAAAGCACTGGTGAGGAGCTGCTGCCTAAACACACATATCTTGCATCATTTATGGGTTTCTAGGATATCAGAATTATTAATAAAAAGCTGTCAGAAATGGTGCAGGGTTTGTGTCCCATAGGAGAACCAGGTAGACTACCCAGGGTCCCTTATGGTGGCATCAGGTGTCTGTGTTTAGGAACTGACTCCTGTCCCTTCCATCTGCTGCTGGGTATGCAGGCACCAGGACTACTTTGCACTATTTGTGTGGCTGTCACTAAGAGATGATGAGGTGCTGTGGAAAYGCTGAGTGCAGCCACTAGTGATGCACACAGGAGATCAGTGCAGGAGTTGAAATACTCATGACTGCCTGTAGAAAAGCTGTCAGTTTTATTTCCACTGGTAGAGCTGAGCTGAGATGTATATTGGGGTCAAAACTAAAAGCAGTCCTGGAATATCTTCCAAAGTAGGACTAAATCATTCAGCATCCTGTGTCCTGACACAGATATGAGTCATTTCAGAAAGAGCTGGGTACTCTGAAACTGGGATACTTCTTTCCTTTTGCGACTTTTGGGATAGGAATCTGCCATTGAGATCAGGGGGCATGGCATCTGGTAGAGGAGGTCATAGCCCCTCTGAAGCCTGTTCATCATTAACCTCTTTCTAAGAACATATCAGTGATCTCTGAATACACCCCTGCTGTCACCKTGGTGGTTGTCATAATCCCCCATCCTGCTGCTGTACCTGTGTCWGTGAACTGCAAAGGCATTTCCTAGTGCCTTCACTATTTCTCCTCAGCAGCAGATATATTCCTAGCTCTGGTAGCATTGGTACCAAGCACCTCAAACTGAGAGTCTGTGTAGGTTGTGCTTTGCCTATTCCTGTTTTGAGGTGCTCTRAGCATTCCCTCAGCCTTTCCCTGCTGCACCCACACCACAGCTGCTCATGCAGGATAAAGCTGAAGGCAGATTTTATCCCAAGGCTGCTGGGACAAAAGGTTTCCTGAAGGAGTGAGATCTTGTTCCATGCTGTAGGACAACTCCCATACCAAAGAGAATTTGGAGCAGGATGAGAGTTCAGGGGCAAGGAATTTGGCTTGTCATTAATACTGAATGAAACTGGGGCATTCTGCTGMCACTTTTCTCTCTGTCAGGCAAAACTCCCACGTGACCTGCAAGGAGGCTTGAATGATTAAGAAATACAGACCATACATGGATAAAGAAGAGAATCTACTTGTCCAGCAAGTGGCATGATGAATTACTGGAGCAGTCACTTATGCAGTTTTTGAGGAAATAATAGCATAAATAAGGAAAGAGGTACAGATTATTTGCCTTGCTAGAAACAATAAAGACAAAGATACTCACACCCTGGAGCTGGCTCTTTGCTCACACCTCTACTCTGGGATCTGTAAACCCACGCTTGCCTTCATTAACCAAAGTGGGCCTCTCAGTTCTTGTGTGCCAGACCAACACCTAGAAGGGATCACAAAGAGTTCAGCTGTTCCGAATGCCATGGAAAAAACACAACACTGCATCCATTGGGTGGGATCATCATAAACGTGAGGCTCACAACTGTTTGAAGTGTGTAATTCAAAGGGGTTGATACCGAGAGACACCTCACAGTCACATGAAACAGTGACAASGAGGAAGGATCATTCTAGACCAGAATTCCAGCCTCAACCCTCTGCCAATCCTCCTGGATTTTAGAGAAGCAATCTGGGCACAGACTGTACATCTGAGGCTCTTCATTAACACAGAATGCATAGCATTGCTCCTCAGCTCTCTCTGAGCTTCCTGTCTGTGAAGAATTTAGCAGGCTTTGTCCATCYGTCTGTCTCAGCATCATTTGGCACTGACATGTGCCAGCACAGGGCAGGCACACTGCAAGGTGGAGGAGWGTGGCAGGAGGCTGTAAAAGCATCCACAACCCATCAAGGAGACTGTATCTTCGAGATTTCTTGTCCCACTCACCTTTGTGCAGTTGGCTGCTTTGGGCTCCAGCCCATCCATAGTCACTAGATCCTTCAGCAGACTGGTTTCCTGGTAGCCTCCTTTAACTCCCTCCAGCTTGAAACTSGCATGAGGCTTCTCCAAAATCAACTTGATGCTGATAGCAAATCCAGCCATGTCAATAGCAAAGGGACGATTAGGGTCAAAGACGGTTTTCCAGCCCACCACCTTCCCTGCTGGGCTCACTTTTGGGGATTCATATCGCAGCCCCCCGACGAAAGCCACTGGCCAGACTGACACYCTCCTTGTGTAGCGCATCTGTGTGCCACAAAGAGACAGTGCTGTGAGAATTCAACCCCAYCACATTTGTCCCAACCCATTAATGCACCACATTCTGCTTTCACTGGCACCTGTCCTCCCCCGTTGACTTCCTACACAATCACATTGCTCTAAGCAGCACAAGCTCCAGTTCACCTGTGCTGCTGCTTGAAGAGCTACAGCTTCCACAGCCAAGAGGCAAATTTTTGGCATGTTATTGTCTGAATACCAAACTCACAGCTTCTCCATGCTCACATCCAGTCCCTCAGAAGAATGAAAATCTCTGTTTTTCTCATTGCATTTGAACTTTAATCTTYTTGTTATGGTAGAATTTTATCATTTTCGTAAATGCCAAATACTACTTGACCAGGCCTCTAGCTCTGTATTATCAGCTCCACTCACTTCAGCTTCACACTCATGCAAGTAATCTCCCTCTCTGACTGATTCATCTTTGTCCTCATCTATTGCAATTTCTCCCTTTCTCCCCCCTCCTCCTGCCTTGTTTTTCCATCCATGGCTACTGCCTAAAAGTGTGGGAGCTTATTGAAATTACCAGAAAGGACCTGGAAAGAAGTAAGAAAGGATGACCCTAACAAAGACTTAACAATTCTGAAGATTGGAAATATGTTCTGACGCATAATTCTGCTCTTCAAGTGGCTTAGTACAGTTTGGTTTAAATTGGTGACAAGGGAGTTTTCTGGATTTTCTCAAGTTTACAATAGGCTTGGCATCTCACAAAAGCCAGTTTCCCAGCAGAAGTCTGGGCAAGCTTCTGTGGTCCCAGAAGCACAGCCCTGTTGTGGTGGCTGGAAATTGGAGAACAGAAGGGCAGCCAAGGAGTAAAGGTGGATAGAAAGTCAGACAACTTTTCTGTCATCCCCTACCTGTCACACCCCTACAATAGTGCAGAAGTTTGTCTTTGGTGCTTATTTAAATTAGGCCAGCTCTCCCTGAGGAGAGGTATGAATTMTTAGGGTCCCTGGCAAGAGGAACTCTAGCTGGTGCAATGGTGTGTGAGTGGCTGTTCCCATCTCCAGTCTRTAGCATGCCAGATGTGTTCTTTGCTCTTTCAGCCCTTTATAGGACTGGCTACTGAATTTGCATAGCTGTGGATTTGCATCTGCCCTATACCCAGCTGCCACTGCATGCAGATTGGCTGAGGTCTTTGAAAGTGCAACTGGGCTTAAGAGTCTGTGCAGCTCTATCCTGCTTTTCCCATGTAATATTATGTCTCTTACCTCCTCAAAGAGCTCCAGGCTGTARGTGTTATCATCATCAGCAAAATAGACTACACCTTCTGGTGGTGCAGTGTTGCTGAAGCTGTCCCTCAGCCAGTGCAGCCCCAGGTTCCTCTGTAGTGTCCCCCTCGGGGTGTGGGATGGGATCCAGGACAGACCCAGCTTCAGGCTCTTGGGTGTCTCCACGTTGAGGTGGGTGAAGTTGAGCCCAGCCTTCTCCAGCAGGTTGGATACAAGGTTGGTTCTCCGTGGAGAGTCCTCCACCACCACCCAGTGCAGGTTCTGTACGTGCAGGAAGGTGTTGGCCAGACGGGTCAGCTCAGCTTTCTGCACCGGCCGGGTGTAGGTAGGGGTGATAACAAAGATGGTGGGCAGGGTGTCTGACCATGGGGGAGGTCTGGAGTACACATAATTCTGGATGATTTTAGGTGTTGCCCCTAAGCTTTGCTGCTGCCGAGTGCATGATGGGAAGCCTTCTTCTCTCAGTGCAGAYGTGCCATTAAGGAGAGCTTTAGAGGTCACGTTCTCATCTGTCTCTTCTGGGGCAAAAGAAAAGAAGGAAAAAAAGAGGAAGAAAAAGAAGATGTCAGAGGACTAGTAACTGCCAGGCTGCCTCCTGTCCAGGGAGGGACATATCCATCTGGAGTCAGTGCTTAGCACAATTGCATCTTCTCCCCAAAGCCTAAGGTGCATGTTTAATGTGCTCTTAAGAATGGTTTATATTTCTGCTGTTGGCAAACCCCGAGGAGGCCTTCAGGCAAGCTTGTCTTTGTTTAACCCATCCTGTGAGAGAGCATATCCTGCTGAGGTTTGCACGAGTGTTCATCATAACCACCTGAACACTGACAGCAAAACTTTTGTACTTACTTCTCAGCAGGCTGAGGTAGTGGGTGGTTGGGTACTGGTGCCACAAGGTTAGGAGAAGAGCCCATGGCAAGGCAATCAGGAGCGTGGTAAGAAGATTACGTCTCCTCAGCATGCTGCAGGGAGCTTCCAATGCCCAGGCATCTCTCTACCTTTCCGAAAAAAAAAGAATAAGGCCTCTGAAATATCAGTCACCACAAAAGCATGGAGGCATGATAAATGTTTGACCCTGATCCAGCTAAGTGTTGTCTACATTAACTCTTCTGCAGTGTTAATTCCTCCTTATGTGGATGCATTGAGGCAATCAGGCGTGCATGCTATCARTCACCTACTGAGTGTTCCACAAAATCCCTGCCTTGGTCATTCCACAGTGCTGGTGATGCCTRCTGAACGTTTAGTTATCCCACCTCCCTTTCTGCTTCTGGTTCCCATTGTTTGGCCATTGCAGCATTTAGTTTAAAACACAGACTTTGAAGTATCCACCAGGCCCTACCAGGTCTTCTTGCACTCCTAGGCTGAAGGCATTTTGARGGAAGAGAGTTATTGCATCATGCTTATACAAAAAAACAGAAAGGAGGTTCAAATTGGTTGACTCTGAATTCCTGCTCTGCCAGGGATTTTTAAGTGTACCAAAGGCCGGTTGTCTAAAACCAAGGCCCTCCAAGGGATGGACACAGGCACACTTTGTTCAGAGGCAACTCCTTGGCCAGGATTTGGGTTCAGCAGCTCCTCACCTGTCCAGAGGGGAAGGATTGCYTTGCTTCAGCCTCAAAGCATTGTGTGAGAAGAAACATGACAATTGGTCTAAAAGGGTGCTGCAGTGACAGCAACCACAAAGTACTCCTGAAAGATATTAGGAGATGCTATTCTAAATTCATCCTCTGGGACCTTCTTGGAATCTGTCTTTAATTGTTTCTCTGACGTTTTACCTTGGTGTCCTGAAAAAACAAGGATTATGCAATTGCAGGGCTTATGAGTGCCCTACCATCGATAACTGGCAATCCTATTTCAGCCAAAACTGAGTCTCAGCAAGACCTCTGGTGGGCAGCTGTGTGTTCATAAGCCCTATCAAAGAAATTCCTGCAACACAAGTTCATTCCTTGTTGGACACCAGTGGTACCATGCTGGAGCAATCCCTTAGGGAAACGAATTTCCAGTGAGTGCTCCCCAAACCAGCCACTAATGGTGATAATATCTAATGTTTCTCACCTCCTCTCTCAGGAAACACCATGGTGCTCCTTTCACTACTTTCAAACTATAAAATACTGATGAAGAAGTGGACCAAAGAGCCTGTGTGGCCAGGGGCACATGGGAGTGTTTTGGTGATGTGAGCAGGAGCCTTGTGCAGCAAACGTGCTGGCTCTGCTTAACTTCATTGCTTTTTGATGACTGGGTTTGGGGCAGGTACAAGAGTGTCCTTCAGGCTTTAGTGCCAAAGGCATAGGTGTGTGGTARACTACAGATCCAAGCTGGACACAAKGCAGGATGGTGTTACCTACRCCAGGGACTGCTTTCCCTRCAGRAAATCCTTYCTCTTACCGGTGTAGCAGCACAGWGTMAAGCTTCCCATCACTCATGGCTGTGAGAACTGACAGAGCCACAAAAAAAAAATCCAAGGATTGCTAGTAACAACAGCAGATCCACCCAGGACCTGGCTCAGGGTCATCACAGTTTCTTGCTTCCTCTAGTATGCTTGCAGTTTCAAATGTCCCTGCTCTGGGTAGTAACAAATGTTACTAGAGTCAGGCTTCTTCCATTTAATAAAAGGCCTTAATTATACAGACACACATTATACAGCTTCCATGCAGCAGACCTGCTACTGCTACAAACTCAAGTCACTTCTGGAGGGAAGGAGAGGAGGAGGCAGCRGTGGCAGCTGCGTTACCARGAGAGCACAGRKGAGAGGGGATCAGAGTTAGGAGAAATTTTATTGAATTCCCTTTCTAGTTCTTTCTCCTCCTCCYCCTTCCAGCCAGCCCTGTTCATGCTTCCCGAGCACTGCAAAYGAGTGGAGATGCTGTCTGTGTGCACAACTCCCCTGGTGCTCTGTGCTCATTTATTTATTTCTACATGCACCTTCTCTCTATTGCTTTTCCAAAGAAAGCAAGGCTGAAGAAGTTTAACCCTGCATAAAGCCCCAGGTAATTTGTGAACCTCACAGAGGAGCTGACTTTAACCCCGTTTCAAAAAAATCTCTCTTGGAATACTTTATTTTCTCTTTAAAATGTTGCTTTGTCTCCCCCACTGTCTCCCCCTACATCCATCACGCRTACTCTTTGTTGCTTTACATCTTTCACCTGCTTTTTCTCAGTGCTTCAGAGTCTCTTTTCTTCCCTGTTTCCAGGACTACAGGAATCCCCTGRTTTACTAATAATTTTAGCCTTTATCTTCTGTCCTTACCCACACAAAGGCCCTTTGCATTCTCTTAATGTCCACCGCGCATGGATATTTCCCACAAAGTGGTCCATTAAAGCATCAGTCCATCCTTTTGAAAAGGCAGCATCAAAATCCAGTCACATATCAATGCCTCTGGGTAGCTGCTGATGGCCCCAGTGGGGCTTGCAGAGGTTTACTGCACATATTTTTACCTACTTTTTATAATTAAAAACAAAGTCTCCTAAGTGGCTCGGATTAATTGCATGCCTGCTGGCAAACATTACTGTGTGTATTCTTGGCACAACCAGCTACCTTCCTTCTGCCTTTAACCCCTTTCAGAGTAGATCCTATTAAATGAGATTCAAGATCAGAAGAAAATTTTGTGATCATCTAAACCCATCTCCTGCGATCATCTGGTAATTCCTGGGTTTAAGCTGTAGAGGGCAGGGACTATCTCTTAATGTGCTTGTACAGTCCRGCACTGATCCCAACGGGAGCCTTTGGATGTGATCGCAATACAAATATTATTGATTGTACTCTCTTGCTGGCTCTTCTCCTCCCTTTCTATTTCCCCTGTCCTGCCTGTTCTCCGTTCTTTTTCCTTTTCTTTTTTTTTCCCCTAGTGCCTCCTGCAGCCCTTGTTTGTGTTACACACCCTTAACAACATTAGCTGAATGTTTGATGGATGCCTTCAATATGCTGCCTGTAGCCTTCTTGAGCTGTTTTCCAATTACACATCCCTCTTCTTAATTTCATCCATCAATCTTCTGTTCTCCATTAAAAAATAAACAAACACACAGAGCACAAAGCTGAGCTGATAGGGACAAAAAACCAAAAAACCCACACACAGCACAGAGCTGATAGGGACAAAATGTTTCTCGTACTACTCAGACTTCATGCTGCTTTGTCAGACTCCTCAGCTCCTGGGACAAAACACCATTTGGTCTCCATTTAAGCTCACGTGCTGATGCAGGGGGCATTATTCTGAAAGGATTGAGGAGAAGACAATGAAAGAASCACATGGAGGAAGAGCTAGATTGCCCAGAATGATGCTGAAGAGAAGCAAGATCTGGCTGAGCCTCAGACCATTGCATGTGACCGATCCCTTCATCTGTTGTTGACTAATTACCAACAGGGTACAATTTGTTACAGGCAGGATGATGAGAGAAGGACAAGGATTCCAGGCTGGAAAATGCCCTGGGCAGTGACTTTCTACCTGAGCTGCAGAGTGTTTGAAAGGACATGCTGGGTGAATGGGAGAAAGGTGAAGATTAGGAAGAGATGCAGCTGACTGGGGATTACAAAGCTAACACATTCCAATGCCTACAATTTTCCTACAGCCATATTGAAAAGCTGCTCAATTTACATCCTCTTTGATAACTCAGAAATGGTTAGGATCACATGGGCTTTGGTAGTTCYCTTCTGAGGTTTTGGTTCTGCCCTCTGCCTGCCTAAACCAGAATGTAAGCCACAGCTTTTGAAAAATTTGCTCTGCAAGGAAAGTGATTTTCCTCTGGTGATGAACCTCTGGTTCAGGACAGCTGGCCTGTCTGAGCCAGGCTTACAAGACTCTGAATGCTGGACCATCCCCAGGCCAGGGACTGTACTGGTCTAGCTGGACATACAGGCTCTAAAGATCCTTACYTCCCCAGAGGAACAAATTTCATGGTTCAAACTGTCCCTTGGGAACATCCCATCATTCAGTGTAATGATTTTCTAGGCARGCACCCAAAGCAAACTACTCTCAGCTAACAGAACTAAAAGAAACACTCCCTAATCTTGGTTTGAGCCCTGTTTGCAAGCCTACCATTCTGTGTGTRCCCTGGGAGGAGACAGATGTGGACAGGGCTGGAGCAGGGCTGCAGGTAGCTGCAGATRACTCTTAATTTCACTCACAAAGCTGTCAGCAGGGATTTTGGTTTGTTTTGCCTGCATTTTGCTGCCTTTCTCCACCATCCCCTAGCCACCTTGAGGAAGTCCGTGCAGATTTCATGAGTTCCCCAACTCCCGGTGCGGGAGATGCGATGCTGAAGGCAGAGCAGGGAGCTTTCAATTATTGATGAGAGCGACCTCTCTTTAAACAAGGAATGCATAATTCATGGCAGCGCCGGTATTTGTGGTGAGCAGCACCGGCTCAGTCTCTGCCTTGCTGAAATGCACAGGAAGCCGCTGTCCCCTCTCCCCGTTCCCTGAGGCCCATCAGAGCCTTCAGCTGAAACTACAATAGTGCTAAAAATTGAGACAGGCCAAGATGCTGCAGTGTTTCCCTTCACCAGGCAGCTCCCTGCCTGTTTGAGATGTGCACGATAAAGTGGGAGGATGGATTCAGGGAACCACAGAAGTGGGTGGAATGGGTTATTGCTCTGGGATAAGCAGGGRTAATTATTGGGCAAACACAGCCAAAACAAGGCATTTCTCAGTAGTGAGACTCCTCCAACCCCTGGACAGGTCTTCAGGAATGGCATCATTTAGGCATCATTTCTATCCTAGAAAGGATAGACTAGATCTAAAGGACAGTGCCTGAGGGTTCACATCCAGCTGTATTTCTTATGGGGGTGGGAGAGAGAAGGGCTAAAGGGAGATTTGGGTTTCTGCTCAGTAAGTAGCAATTTCTTCTCTAAATTTCTTCTCTGCTGGAACTGTGTGACTGAAAAGCAAATGGAAAAACAAAAAGAATCCATTTTTCTAGGGAGGGAAATGTTATAATGGAAAGCCATTTTTCTATGGAGGGAAATGTTATCATGGTATCATGGAATGTTTTGGWTTGGARGG